TAAGCTTTGCAACTTCTTCCAGTATGACAGTCGATCGCTTCGCTCCAAGGCACGGCAAACAGTGCAAACATGTGCAAGTGAATAGTAGACAGCAAAGAAACCAAAAAAGTCGGCTGGGAACGCAAATGCCGGGTCCAACTCTGCTTGGAAGTTCACCGAAGCCTCATCCCCGAAATTTCCTGAAATGGCTTGGTCCAGCTGCAGTTCGTGGATGGCCAGCAAGGTGATGATGAGGTATGTGCTGGTGTAAGCAATATCAAGAACCGCATCCATCATCGCAGCACCCCGGCGCACCCACTTCACCGAGGGGAAGGCCAACAAAATGGTTGGATAGATGCTGTTCAGACATAGGAAACCCACAAAAGCCCAAAAACATCCTTCAAACGCATCTGAATGCTTCGGAGCTGAATGGAATGCAAAGGACACAAGGCCACCCATGATTTGGAGCTTTCCAAAGGCCTGTAGCATCACTGTGAATAACTGCAGCATTGCAACTTTGAAGCCGTAGAGCTTGCCTTCAATGCCAAAATACTCCTCGTAGAGCAGCTGGGTGGGTTTCAGCGGCCTCAACTTGAGATTGGCTGACCGACACCGGCGCAGGTCGCTCAGGAGGACGATGATCAAGGCCAGGTACGGCAAAGAGAAAACAATGGAGGGCAACAGCTGCGAAAGGCTCTCCTCCAACCATCCAGAATCAGCAGCGACAGCCTCCGGCAATGTCCCATCGCTGGGCTCAACCGTCTGCTTGAGAGCAAAAGCATCTCGGATCAATTGTGGAAGCTTGGAACGGATGAAAGGTGGGCTGTACCGCACAAAGTATTGCCCCCCAAGGTACACTGCTGCAAGTAATGAGCTGATCCGAAGCAAAGCAACAACTACGACTACCAATCGTAATTGCTGTGCTGGTCGCCCAGACATAAGCAAAGGATCTACCTGCAAACCGCCTGCCAGAAGTCCCACCTGTTCTGCCAAGTGGTGCACATCATCCACTTGATTTTCCAGCTTTGTCAAGGAGGCTTCAAGGAAACGGATCGTGGCTAAATAGTGGTTGATCTTGACCACCATCTCGGCACATCTGACACCAGCTTGGACGGAAGCAAAAGAATCGCGAGTACGCACGATCTTGATTTCTCTCAACTCATCATGCTCTGCTCTGGTTTTGAGAAAGCACCACGCACTGAGCATTCTTTCCCAATCATCGAAGATTACATCGCAATACAAGAGATCTAAGATTTTGTCCCATCCACCTTCTCGCACGACAGCCTCTTGTGCCACTGGCACTGTCATCAGTACGGGCCGCAAATCTTGCCGAGATATGGAACCAGGCTGCTCCTCCAAGAACTCTCGCAGTGGAAGGCACAGATTCTTGTCGAAGTCATCAAGATGCTTTCTGGCTTCGACGAAGTGTTCCGTCAAGCTTGTGACGTGAGACTGGGCAATATCGTCTCTACCCCAATCACCAAAAAGCCTGGACATGTCATTCTGCAAATTCTTTGCATACAAAGCTTCCGATTCAACTTCAAGCCTCCTTGACAGTGTTTGCATTCTGTTGAGCCGAGCTGTGGTGTAAACAATGCTGACAATTGCAATTGAGATAATAATCAGAAAAATCAACATGCCAGACACTCCTGCTGACTGAGAAAAGCTATAACTTGCCACGGGCAACAGGCTGAGAACCAGAAGAACCAACAAAAATCGGCTCTCTACCTCTGCCACTGCTTGTGCGAGAATCAGCACACTAAGCTCCACATTCTGGCGCCAAGCATTTCCTACAACACAAATCCTCTTGAAAAGGCCCGACCAGCGGTGCCTATCACAATAGCCGCTCTCAGAAGAGTGAAAAGACTGACATGAAGGATGGCTGCATGGGAACGGTTTGTTTTCATCAAACATCTCCTGTGGAGTGCTGTGACTCTCTGTCTCTGCATCTTCTCCAGCTGATTCGTCAGTGCTTGTGGCGCTGGACCTGCCAAACCTGGTTGGCTCAAAGTACACTGAGCTGACGTGTGGCAGCTGGCGGGCACTGAGTTGTCGCATCCGTTGCCAGATGAAACGGAAGCTCCGGGTGCAACGCCCTTTGATGACACCGCCAAAATCAACATGAGCAAATCGAGCGAACCATTCTCGCTTTGGCAAACCTTCAATGTTCACCCAAGTGTCCAAGCCCCCTCGCAACCATTTCAGTGACTTGATGGATTGGTGAAGTTCCATCCTCGCATCAATCGACACCTGGCCACATCCGCTGAGATCAATAACTATACTCTCCAGGTTTCGAGAAGACTGCAAAGCAGAGCTGAAGCATCCGAATTCTTCCAAACATGGCAAGTTCATGAACCTGCAGCCACTGGACCGTGGCAGCTGAGAAAAATCAAAATAACAATATCATGTCCATGGAATCAAAAAGAAAGCGCAGCAAACAATAAGCTGAAAATCATATTTTTTGCTGGTTCAAGATGAAGAAAAATGTGACTGGAAATTCACAACTCAGCGCACCATAGCTCCAAGTACATGAGGCTCTCCATCTCTCTCAGGGCAACTCCAAGCCCTGCCGCAGTCCAGAAGTGCAAGGAACCTGTGAAGCGCAACTTCAACTGGACCAAAGATTTCAAACACTGCACCGTCGATGTAAACATGTCCAGAGTCTCAAGACCCGAGAATCCCAGATCTAATCGCAAAAAGCGCAACTCTGCAGGAAGGCTTTGGATCAGCACGTCAAGCTCATGGTCAGAAAAATTCCGGCACCCAGTCAGTGAAAGCTGCAATATCTTTCTACCAACATCTGCCTTTACAGCTCTGGACAGGAGTTGAGTGCATCTTCCTTGAAGGACAAATCCGTACCAGCTGGATAAGGCGAAGCGCGAAGCAAGAGGTTCGTCTACTCGCTGGAAATTCGGATCCCCAGCGGGGTACGACTGCAAAAGCTCAAAGTCACAAGTTCCAAGACGAGAAAGAGCTATGCTGTTCAGTATACGAACTTTGTCGATGTTCTGCGTGGCATGAGCTTCCTTGAGCTGTCCAACACGCATTCAAACTCACAATTATGGCTCGGACACCTTCTGGAAAAAGAGAGAACTTGGAATGAGCCAATATATTTAATGTAACATAACATAATATACATAAAATGCAAATGGAACAATGGACCATGGACCTTGCCCACTCAATCGATCGTCCAAATGCATAAAACGGTTCTCCAAACAACAAAACAGTAGAGGTTGCTTGCAATCCCGCAGCAAGTTTCTTCAATCTTTACCTTCAAGCCCTTTTCCAAAAGGCCAAGAGGAAAGTGACGTTCACGAGCTGCTTTGTGGTGCAAGCCGATGATGCCAATCATTCGACTTTCCGCTCCGGCAAGTCCATCAGTAAGCACGTGAGCCTCAGAGATCAACAAGTTTGGAACGGTCGAAACTTTAAACATCACTTGTTACGTTCACCATGGTGCAGAAATGGGGGTTACGGTAAAGGCGATGGTCTCAACCTTTCGAGCAGACCACGCAAAGGAAATGTCCACACAAGGCCACCCCTTCTGTGTCGAGTAGCTTTGTCATATGCATCAGTGGCTCCCACATCAAGCAGTAAACGTCGTCTGGACCAGTTGCCCTCTCGATGTTCGATCGCCTTGGTCGCTTTTAGGGTGAAACACGACCAGTGTCTCCTTTGATCCACTATCTACTGAAGCATTGCCTGCCTTTACGAACATGACCTGGTGTTGCTCCTGCTCGTTATCCCCCATTCACATCATGCTGTTTGGTTGTGTTTCGCATTTTGCACTGAAACAAGCTAGCTGCTAGCTGGACAAATCAAAACGTGTCCCTTCAGGCAGAATTCACAAACGAAAAAAACTCACGTTCATGTCACATTTTTCTCGTTTCATGATGTTTTCTCGCACTTCTCGGAATTTCTAAGGCTGGGGCAATGGCTTCCTCGAAGCAGCACCAAATCCTTTCGAAAGGCGTTCCATTGTTGTTGTTGTTGTTGTTGGGCAATTGTAACGCTGCCACAGCCTGGGCCCACCGGGATGAGTGGCTGGAGGCAGCTTTCGGGGCGCCAGAGCGCGAGAGATTTCTAAGGAACTCGACGAGTCAGCTATCCAGAGGCTGATGGCTCGACATGGCTCCGCAAGTCGAGCAAAGCTTGTTTCTGTCTTGCAAGCGCAAAACTACTCCATGCAATGGCATCTTGGACTTCACGAGCCCAAGCACTCAGGGAAATGAATCCTTTCGAAAGGCGTTCCAGCTGAATCCAGCACCAAAAGAACTCCCTCAGACATCTGGATAGCTCTCTATAGAATGAAGTGCTGCGTGGATTGCTTTTGATATCCTCTTCCACGCAGTGCTGGTTGTTGGCATATGCACAGACCCAATAGAATGTACTGCTTGAGAGTTCTCGCACCAGAGCATGCTGCTCCAAGCAGGCCAGAAACTTACAAACAGGCTCCTCACAGATCTGCCCAACACAAAATTGGACGTGTTTCAAAGCAATAGATTGACTTTCATCTATCATTACGCTGGATGTTCATTTCTTTTTGATACTTGATACAGCATCCTATTGAGGGTCCGAAATGAACAAGTCCAAAACTCAACCAAGGCTTCTAGGGGAATGTGAATTATTAGCGGAAAAAGATCAGGGTTCAGATAAGGGGGGAGGAGTTGTGCAGAGGACTTTGATAGGTACAAGACACAAAGCATAGGGTGCGCAACTACCAAATTCGATGCATGGTTCATGGTACCTTTTTGCAGCTACAAAATACAGAACACAACTTAATTTGACTCGGAAAATAATTCAAAATATGCACTATACAAAAACCAATGCATCTGAAGTTGAAAATAGCTGAAAATCGGAAATGCTAACATATGCTAACATGAATTTTCCCAATAACATTTTGTAGTTGGGCCTATGCCATCCAAAGTTCCGACCAACATAATTAGGGTAAACATTTTGGGGGTGACGTCGTGACGTCGAACTAAATCGTACAGATTTTATTGATGCCGGTTTTTGAACTGATGCAGAGTGCTGGGACGAACTTTGAAGAGTGGTGCGCCGGCCATGGATGCCCAATCCCCAAACCTGGCGGAGATGCGTCGCCCAATGGCCATCGGGTAATCAATTTGCTTGACCCGATCGGAAAGGTGTTCTACAAAGCTGCCTTGAATCTGCAAGCTGACCCACCGCTGCCTCATCAATATGGTTATTCGGCACAGAGATCACGCCGTGACGCCATCCTGCAACTGACAGTTCTTCTGGAACGTTTGCAACAAGAGCGTGTGTGCACCAGTGCCAACTTGTATGACCTGACGAAGGCCTTTGACATGTTCAGCAGTCAAAACGTGGTTGCAAACTTGAGCAATGATCTTGCCTTGCACCCAACTCTGAAGGCTCTACTCATAGACATGCAGGGAAGGCTGCAAGTCAAGATGCCAATTACAGGCCAAGCACCGCTCACAGTGAACCTTGGCACTGGGGTTTTGCAAGGTGGTGGCACAGGCCCTCGACTATTTCGCAGAGTCTATGATGATGCCATCCAAGATTGGCAGACACAAACCTGGTCTGATTCAAGGTTGACTTGTGTAGCTTATGAAGGTCAGGAACTTGACCTTTCAGTTGCTGCTTATGCTGATGACTTGGTGAGAGTAGAAGCTGGCAGAGACATTCGCAGAGCAGAGCGCCTGACAGTGGACCACACAGACTCTCTGAAAGAAGTGCTGCAAAGACACCGCTTGGAGTTAAATCTGCGAAAGAGCGAATCCCTTGTAGCAGTGCGAGGGCGTGGCGCCTACAGCGCGGCTGAACGCGTATTTGCTGGTGACTGGGCGGGCCCGCCTCTCAAACAATCTGTGGAATACTTGGGTGCCCACATACAAGCTCAACTTTCCATGAAATTGGAAATAACCAAACGCATTGCTGCAGCGAGGAACAGTTTTTCTTTGTTTTCACGTTTTTTCCGAAATTCGCGTGTACCACAAAGGCAGAAAATACAAGTTTTCCATGCTGTAGTGAACGAAGCCTTTCTTTCAGCTCTCGAAGTCAGAGCCTTGAGCGAAAGTGACATACAGAGGCTTGAGTCTGCAAGGAGGCTGCTTCTGCGCAGAATTTTTGGACGCAATGGATTTGGTGGTGTTCGTGGTGTAGGTGGGCACCGCTCTGTGCCTCTCTCATTGCTTCGAAGACTAGCTGGCTTAGCTGAAGTACGAGAAGAATTGCGGACCCGACGGCTCCAATGGCTTCGTGCTTCACTTGCTGCAGAGGCTGGTGGGGAAGTACGCTTGGATCTTGCTGCTCTGTTTGGAAAAATGGAGTGTCACGCTGATCCTCCTGTGAATGCACATGGACAACTGACAGCTGCTGCGCCTTCATTCCTGCGTCTTCTGGCAGCTGATCTACGAGCTGTGGTGCCTGACTGGGACGGTTTTGTGCTGGGATGGAAAGATGTTTTTCTGGCTTTTCCAAAGTCTAAGTTGCGAAGCCGATTGCCGCTGCAAGAAAACCAGCGACTTGAACCACCTCAAGCTCAACCCATGAGAAGCTTGAGTGCTCTTCCTCCAAGAGGATCTCCGTTGGAAATTGCTGCTTCGCTTTGCATCCTAACTGATGGAACTTGCCCTGAGACGCTTGACTCGGTTTCAGCAGAAGACTGGATCAGCGGGGTCTACTGTGGACAATGTGCGGCTGGCCCGTGGCATGGGAAAAAGTCGTTCTTCCAACACATTGTCCGGAAGCATGCAGTGAGAAACGTGCTGAATAGCAAGACATGTCCACTGTGCACAAGAGCTTTCACTGAAGTTTCAGCATGTCGAAGACATGTCAAGAATCAGTCCTGCGGAACAATTGTGAACAACCATGGAGCAGCCGGTGCCATAGCTGGTTTGCAGCACAGGGCTCGAGCAATCTCTGAATCAGCTTCGCGCCTTGCTCACCCTAATGGCAGGGCTAGCTTTCATGGCGCCGCTTCAAGCTGTCGCGGCCAGCTCTCCGCAAGGAGCCAGGCCGAAGCGCCCTCAGTCCGAGGGAATCAGCGCCAGTGGCAGCATGGATCAGCAAGTGAAGCAGCTGACTGCTCAAATGCAAGTGCTCATGAAGGTTGTCAGCCAGCACGACAGAGACCTTCGCGAGCTAGAAGCATGGAGCTGCCACACATTTTTGCTCAGCAAAGAGAGCGCCTTGGCCAAGCTACTGCTGGAAGCAATGCAAACCTGGAAGTCACAGGTGCCGGAAGCAGGTCCTCACCCTCTCGGAGCTCCGAGATGGACGGTGGCAGGCACAGTGGCGCAAGCTCTTCTGCAGGACACCGCCTGTGCCGACAAACTTGGCAAGTTTCGAGTCTTCCACGAGAATTTGAAAGAACTGCCAGACATGGAGAAATCTGTGCAGCTGGCCATGGCCAAAGAAACCAGGGATCACAAAGTCTTGTTGAAGATTCGCCCGCAACTGATCAGCCAAGATGAATGGAATGAAGCATTTGCCGTCCTCAGTGAAAATGTGCGGCAAAATGGAGGGGAAGCCAAGACAAGTGCAGCTCCACCAAGCCCACTGATTCGCCAATTAAATGTCAAATAGGCAGTGCAAATACGGGGTCTTTCCCCCGTGCCAAGCCCCCGCAACTGACGGGGTTGCAAGTGTGCTCTGTGGCGCTTAATTTTCCATTTTATTTGATTTTCGCCCTACCTTATCCTTAGGCCAAAGATCTCAATTTGAGACCATCCTTTTTTTGCGTTAGCAATTGGCTTCGCTGGATGGTTCACACACCACACGAATGTGTGCGCAACTTAAGTTGTGCGGAGCCCCGGCCCGAGTTTCACTTGGAGAGAGTGGACTCATGCGGACAGTCAACAGTCAACATAATATATACAAAATGCACATGAGATTTCATGTTGGATGCTTCACCTATTCAACTTGTACAACTACAAAATGCAAATGATATTTTGTGTTGGATGCTTCAACTAACTCAACATATACAACTACAAAATACAAATAAAGATTTGAAAGGAAACAACTACAAAATGAATGCAAATACAAAAAGGTTGGCCCAACTCCATTTTTTTGTACAAAACGACCCCTGGCTAGCAATCTGTACTGTAGCCCAAGTCCTCCCCTTTATGTAGCTGTTATTTGATCCCGGATGGAAAAAGAAACTTGTTGCTGACAGACAATGCAATAGCACGGTCTCAAACAACCTTGAGAGTTTGCCTATCCAAGGTTCGATCCAAGCATGTGACACAAACCAGTGAGGTCTCTGCAATTGAATCGCCATGAGCTCTACCATGCTGCAGCCCTTTTTCGCATAGCCGTCCTGGGATTCTGCATAATGTTGCCAATTAAAAAAGAAAAACATGAGATTCCTCAAATTGGAAAATGTTGTCACATCATCAACAAATCCAGGCTTCGGTGGCTGGTTTGATGATCCAGTGATTCGCATGATACAAGTTGAAGGTCTCAAACTGCAGCCTTGTCCCACGCTGTTCTCCGAACGTTTCGCACCATCTGTCAGCCATCTTGGAGATGAAAGCAACGATCTTTGCCAATTGCTCGCGCGTGATCCCTCGCTCTGCAGTATCTTCGATGCAGAAAGGCTCCTTCGACGGGTCCACCAACAATTGCAGCAAATGAAATTGGAATGGAATTCAAAAAGCATTGTGCAGTACCCTCACAAGGTGCAATCATGGGCCTGCAATCTATTGGTACTCTCGCCTTTGCTTCACAAGTTCTCAATGCAGTTCCTTCCCCCCATTTAATTCAGGAGCAGGTATACGTTTTACAAGCCACCAGTGTCCAGGGTATGTTGAAACCACTAAATCCAATAACACTGAAATTGAATCGATTCATCACACTGCTGCATTTGTTGGTGTTTGTTGGTATTTGGTGGTATTTGTTGGTACGAGTATTGTTGGCATATAGATTCTAAATTGTGACTGGCCACTGGCTAGTGAGGATTTGGCATGTTTGTCTCCTGGTTGGTGATCTCTGAGTAGTTTGTCAAGACCAAACTGCTGTAGCCAGTTGCCTCCACAATGTCATCGCACTGTAGCTGGCAGACCCCACTTGAAAGCAACTTGTTCCCATGCCATGGATTCTCTGGCAAACGCTCACGTAGCAGTAAAATGATGTCAGCTGCAGTGCTCAAGGCAGTCAACGGGATGTCGAAGTGACCAAATTCGGGACTATCCACAGAAACCGACATGAGGCAGCGAGTCCTTTGCGCTGTCCAGCAGTACGAATTACAGTAATTGCAGTCTATAACACGTGGTCTGCAGGAACTTTCTCTTGAGAAACATGAGATTGGCTGCTTTGTTCTTATGTGGTTGCTTGACTGATGTGGTTTTCATGTCAAAGTCGATAGCGCCGTACAGTGCAAATGCGGTACAAGTTCGTCTTGAGAAAACGCCAGAGGGGCAAAAACAACCAAACCACCTTCAAGACAACATGCAATAAACATGGCCAACATGGCCAACATGTCCAAAACAACCAAAACCACTTCACAGAACCCTTAAAAAAGGAAGCCATGTCTAAACAGCTGGAATACATCTTCAGATATTATACTGTATTACGACATGTTTTGATCCATCATGCCAATCTCAAATCTTCAATGCTTGGTTTCCACACTCTTCCAGAACCACTGCAGGGAGGTCCTGCAGGTGTTGAACCCACACCAGCGAATGACGCGAAATCGCCTAAGATTCTGTTGCACCAAGATCGGGGGGCATCAAGTTGGCTTTGCCCGGAACCCTAAGGGGACAGGGCAGCGAACATGCTCTCCAATTTCCAACAACTCTAATTCCAAGGACAGCAGCTGACGTGGCGTCCTCTGGCAGAGTTGGTGGCAAAATGCACCTTTGCGGCGCTCAGGATCAGACAGACGAGCGAAAAGCCAACGGACGAGTTTCACAACATTTCACGACTAAAGAACCACGTGAACGACAGTATGTAGTAATGTAATTCCTCCGAACTTTGAATTTCTGAAATGTACATCCTCCAATAGCGTAGCCTGGCCATGGAAACCCAATGGTTCAATAGGAAAATCAACTGTAAAAGCAGGATTTCCTATCACCAGGTTTCACAACCAAAGGAGGGCCTCAACATCTCTCTGGGACAGGGAAGGTGGACCCGGGTTTCTCTTGGAATACCGAGCCTCAACCGAAATTCGGAAAATCGTTGTCTCTCAATGCAGTTGACCCATCCAAAATCCATGGGCCGCATAGTGCTTGAAAGATGATGGGAATGTATGCAATCTTCCAGATGTTCCAGAAATGTTGCTGCCAATGATATCCAATGATAATCAAGGTCATAATCCCGTTGTTTTCATGATAAAAATTCGTGTTACTAGTAGTATGTCAATTAGTATCAACTCTAAATTCCTGGCCATGTCCTCACCCCACGACTCTCGAAACTCGTCGCGCAATGCTGGGCGTTCGAGCCACTGCAGTGAGTTTTTCCTGCAGCGCTGGGATGAAGCCCTCATCGTTTTCCCCGTGCGAAGCCCATTTCCACTGGGGACATAGTCCCAGCAAATGATGGACTTTTGGATAAGGCGCCCTTTATCAGGATATGACTGGTGTCTAAATATCGGAATCCCCACAGTTGTGTAATGGTGTGTGCACATGCGAAAAGCCGCTAATATGGAGCAGCTTGCAGAAAATAGTCACATGGTTGTCCTTCATCGGTCCACACATTGAGTGGTGTAAAGACCGCAAACAATGGAAACCATGTCGACTTGAAGGTGCTGAACTTCCATACAAGTTCTGGCATTGATAAGATGTTGTAAGCGTGTAAGTGTATATGGAAAAACCCTAACCCTTGCTGCATCATCCTCCATGGTAGAAACCCTGGCAATTGTCACTATCTGCAACGCTTTCCTCAAGCGATGCACCAAAACAATCCAAAACATTTGTGAGATCTTTCAGGGTCAAGTCCAAGCACCTTTTTCCAAGCTAAGCCATGGATTTTGATCCAATGGACCGACCCCACCAGATTCTGGATTCAAATGGTGTTAGATGGTGTTATGCTGTATGATGTTGTCATGTTCTCAAAAGGGATGGCCATACACCCACAACTTGTCGAAACTCAAAAATTCTCGGCGTGATGTTCCCATTTGGAGCCATTGGTGCCTGGTCCAAGGCGCAGCGTGCCGAATGGCAGCACTCAGCGCTTCACGTGGTCGACACAGTGGTTACACCTGTCTCAGCGGTTTCTTTCCACGTTTTTCAAAGAAACAACTTCTGTTCTGCTCCCTTCAGACTCTGTCTTTTCCTTGTTGGAAGTCTTTCACCACAAGAGGGCCAATCTGGAACCCTACAAAGACTGAAAACGAGTTTCCAAGCAGAGGCAAGCTGTAAATACCGGGGAAGACATCCCAACAATGGAGGTTGAAAACTTACAGAGATCACACCATGAAGACTTCGACTGAAGACTTTCACAACTGTGATGACTTCGACTGGACATTCCGATGCCTCGGTCTGCAAACGTCTCTCCAGTTGCGCGCCAGGTGCCACTGCCACCTTGGACCTTGGTCGCCCAACGCAGGTGCTACTCTCAAAACGCCCCAAAAATAGCGAAACAAGAATAGAATGCAATAAATTTCATGAGGACAAACCATATGAAATGCATTGCAACTAGATTCAAAATGATTCAAAGGGGTTGTTGGAAGTAGGTGAACTGTGAAATCTATACCCAGGAATCAGTCCTAGCCTCGTCACAATATGGAAAAAAAAATGACCACAACCCTATCAAGCGGGCAGATGGCAGAGCACCCCATCATTTTCGCCGAAACAAACAAAAAAAGAATCCTTCATCCGCATAGCCGGACATCTCAGTTGACCATCTCACCGTTTGAAACACGTTATATCCGAACAAATTGCGGGCAACTCACTGAGACCATTGCCCCACAGCCAAAGCTCTTGCAGGCTTCCAAGCCCTGAAAACATATTGGCCCAGACTTCAGGGGGGAACTCGCCGAGTTTGTTGTCACTCAGCAAGAGCCCCTGCAACCTGCCGAGCCCCGTAAACAGATTATCCCAGACTTCGACAGGCAACTCGTTCAGCCTGCACTCATCGAGGAAAAGTATTTGCAGGTTTCCCAGCGTGGAAAAGGCTTCAGCATGCAACTTGCTGAGATCGTTTTTGCTCAAGTCAAGCAGCTGCAAGTGGCTGAGCTCTGCAAATAAGTTGGACCAGACTTCAGAAGGCAACTCGCCGAGTTTGTTGGACCTCAGGTTCAGCTTCCGCAAGTTGCTAAGACCTGCAAAGAGATGGGCCCACACTTCGGCAGGCAACTGGCCGAGTTTGTTGTTCCCCAGTTTGAGATCTTGCAACTTTCTGAGCCCTGAGAAGACTTCAGCAGGCAACACACTGAGTTCGTTGTATTGCAGGTCCAGCTCCTGCAAGTTGATGAGCCCTGAAAAGACTCCCGCATGCAACCGAGTGAGCGAGTTGTACCCCAGGTTGAGCTTCTGCAAGCTGCTGAGACCTGAGAAGACTTCAGCAGGCAACTTGCTGAGTTCGTTGGGCCTCAGGTCCAGCTCCTGGAGTTTGTTGAGCCCTGAAAAGATTTCGCCTGGCAATTCAGTCAGTTTGTTTGAGGCAAGGTCGAGGGTCCGCAACAAAGGAGTCTTATCAAAGATGCCGCTTGGCAGCGAGGTCAACTTGTTTTCGCTCAGATCGAGAACTTGTAGCCGCGGGCTGTGCTGCAAAAGCTCTTGAGACAGCACGCTCAGCTCGTTTCCATATATCCGTCTGAAGCCAATATTGGCTTCAGTATAGCCCCCCAGCAAGAATTTCTCCAGGGCTGGCATCGGGCGCAGCAAGTCTTCTGGCAACACCCTCAATTGGTTTTGGCTCAGCGACAAGATTTTCAAGTTTGACAAGCCCGTGAACGTGTCTGACTCCACCTGTTGCAAACCCAAGCGGCCCAGGTCCAAGAGCTGCAGGCTCTCCAATGGGGCAAACACATTTTGAGGCAAAACAGACAACCGATTCCCAGAGAGCGACAACCGTTGCAAGCCCCATAAAGGGGTGAAGGCATCCCCTGCAACACTTGTGATGTCCTGCTCACTCAAACTCATGTCTTTGAAGCTCAGAACACCTACAAGGCTGCAACTCGCAAGGTGCTGTGTACCATCTTTCTTTGGGCCACAACGGCACGGAAAGCATCCGAAATCAGCTGTGTGAATCGGGTAGAAGTGCGTCGAAAGCAGCAGAGCAAGGATCGTGACCAGCAAACAGGGCGAATACCTAAGTGGCAGTTGTAAAAACAAGCAATCAAACAGAACACATCCATCACGCCCCACTGGGGTCACGACAGCATGGCTCAAACTAATTTCATGACGAAACCCAAATCTCAGGTGGCTGGGTACAGATGTCCAAAGTAGTCGTTTGGAATCAACCACAAAATTTCAATTCCGGCAGTGCTTGTTGGGTTTCAATGGTCTGGGACTGGTGCATCCCGGATGCTTGGAGAAATTCCTAATTTGCACTTTTGGACAAACCAACAGCTGGATAAACTTCTGAACCCTTGGAACCTATCGTGACCAGCAAGCAGGGCGAATACCTTTGCAGCGGCTGCCAAGAAGTCAAGCAAAGAAATCCGTCACAGCCCGATGCGACGAAAAGGCTGGCCACTACAGCATGGGAAAAACTCATAACAAAACAGAAACCAGGTCTCAAAGATTCTCAAAGTTTTGGGCATTGAAGATGTGAAAGGAATCCAAAGTTTTAATGAGGGACTGCCTGTGGAGGGAACACCACCCAAGCCCAAGATTTTGCAAAAAATACAGTGTGGACAAAAATGTGAAACCGCTAGCAGCCGGCCACTTCTGAAACCTTAGAATTCTGGAACCTTGGAACGCTGGTACTTTGCAACCTTGAACCGTATGGTTACAACCAAAACTGCGAACCCTGGCACCTGCACCTGCAGGAAACCTTTGGAACCCTGTTTGGGGACAAGAACGTCATAAGTGGCGCATGCTTCCAGTCCCAAAACAAATGTTCAGCATGTTGAGCAAAAAGACAAAGCTGGAAAAATAACAGGCCTTCTCTGCACCAACTTGTTTACTCGAAATGGAAATACAATGGCAACAGATTACGAAACCACAATGGCTTGAAAATTGCCGAAACGACATAGAACTAAACTAATGCAGCCAAAACGCAATGCTTTGCAAAATATCCTGGACCTCTTTGAGCAAGAAAATCTCGATGGGCTCAGCAGTGACTGGGAAGCAGAGTTCGGTAAGCTTTGCAACTTCTTCCAGTAGGTCGATCGATCGCTTCGCTCTAAGGCGCGGCAAACAGTGCAAACATGTGCAAGTGAATAGTAGACAGCAAAGAAACCAAAAAAGTCAGCTGGGAACGCAAATGCCGGGTCCAATTCTGCTTGGAAGTTCACCGAAGCCTCATCCCCGAAATTTCCTGAAATGGCTTGGCCCAGCTGCAGTTCGTAGATGGCCAGCAAGGTGATGATGAGGTATGTGCTGGTGTAAGCAATATCAAGAACCGCATCCATCATCGCAGCACCCCGGCGCACCCACTTCACCGAGGGGAAGGCCAACAGAATGGTTGGATAGATGCTGTTCAGACATAGGAAACCCACAAAAGCCCAATAACATCCTTCAAACGCATCTGAATGCTTTGGAGCTGAATGGAATGCAAATGACACAAGGCCACCCATGATTTGGAGCTTTCCAAAGGCCTGTAGCATCACTGTGAATAACTGCAGCATTGCAACTTTGAAGCCGTAGAGCTTGCCTTCAATGCCAAAATACTCCTCGTAGAGCAGCTGGGTGGGTTTCAACGGTCTCAACTTGATATTGGCTGACCGACACCGGCGCAAGTCGCTCAGGAGGACGATGATCAAGGCCAGGTATGGCAAAGAGAAAACAAGGGAAGGCAACAGCTGCGAAAGGCTCTCCTCCAACCATCCAGAATCAGCAGCGACAGCCTCCGGCGATCTCCCATCACTGGGCTCAACTGTCTGCTTGAGAGCAAAGGCATCTCGGATCAATTGTGGAAGCTTGGAACGGATGAAAGGTGGACTGTACCGCACAAAGTACTGCCCCCCAAGGTACACTGCTGCCAGTAATGAGCTGATCCGAAGCAAAGCAACAACACCGACCACCAATCGTGATTGCTGTGCGGGTCGCCCAGACACAAGCAAAGGATCTACCTGCAAACTGCCTGCCAGAAGTCCCACCTGTTCTGCCAAGTGGTGCACATCATCCACTTGATTCTCCAGCTTTGTCAAAGAGGCTTCGCGGAAACGGATCGTGGCTAAATAGTGGTTGATCTTGACCACCATCTCGGCACATCTGACACCAGCATGGACTGAAGCAAAAGAATCGCGAGTACGCACGATCTCAATTTCCCTCAACTCATCATGCTCTGCTCTGGTTTTTAGAAAGCACCACGCACTGAGCATTTTCTCCCAATCGTCGAAGAGTACCTCGCAATACAAGAGATCTAAGATTTTGTCCCATCCACCTTCTCGCACGACAGCCTCTTGTGCCATCGGCAGTGTCATCAATACAGGCCGCAAATCTTGACGAGATATGGAACCGGGCTGCTCCTCCAAGAATTCTCGCAGTGGAAGGCACAGATTCTTGTCGAAGTCATCAAGATGCTTTCTGGTTTCGACGAAGTGTTCCGTCAAGCTTGTGACTTGATGCTGGGCAATATCGTCTCTACCCCAATCACCAAAAAGCCTGGACATGTCATTCTGCAAATTCTTTGCATACAAAGCTTCCGATTCAACTTCAAGCCTCCTTGACAGTGTTTGCATTCTGTTGAGCCGAGCTGTGGTGTAAACAATGCTGACAATTGCAATTGAGATAACAATCAGAAAAATCAACGTGCCAGACACTCCTGTTGACTGAGAAAAGGCATAACTTGCAACGGGCAACAGGCTGAGAACCAGAAGAACCAACAAGAATCGGCTCTCTACCTCTGCCACTGCTTGTGCAAGAATCAGCACACTAAGCTCCACATTCTGGCGCCAAGCATTTACCGCAACACAAATCCTCTTGAAAAGGCCCGACCAGCGGTGCCTTTCACAGTAACCGCTCTCAGAACAGTGAAAAGACTGACATGAAGGATGGCTGCATGGGAACGGTTTGTTTTCATCAAACATCTCCTGTGGAGTGCTGTGACTCTCTGTCTCTGCATCTTCTCCAGCTGATTCGTCAGTGCTTGTGGCGCTGGACCTGCCAAACCTGGTTGGCTCAAAGTACACTGAGCTGACATGTGGCAGCTGGCGGGCACTGAGTTGTCGCATGCGTTGCCAGATGAAACGGAAGCTCCGGGTGCAACGCCCTTTGATGACACTGCCAAAATCAACAGGAGCAAATCGAGCGAACCATTCTCGCTTTGGCAAACCTTCAATATTCACCCACGTGTCCAAGCTGCCTCGCAACCATTTCAGTGACTTGATGGATTGGTGAAGTTCCATCCTCGCATCAATCGACACCTGGCCACATCCGCTGAGATCAATAACTATACTCTCCAGGTTTCGAGAAGACTGCAAAGCAGAGCTGAAGCATCCGAATTCTTCCAAACATGGCAAGTTCATGAACCTGCAGCCACTGGACCGTGGCAGCTGAGAAAAATCAAAATAACAATATCATATCCATGGAATCAAAAAGAAAGCGCAGCAAACAATAAGCTGAAAATCATATTTTTTGCTGGTTCAAGATGAAGAAAAATGTGAATGGAAATTCACAACTCAGCGCACCATAGCTCCAAGTACATGAGGTTCTCCATTTCTCTCATGGCAACTCCAAGCCCTGCCGCAGTCCTGAAGTGTGCGGAACCTGTGAAGCGCAAATTCAACTGGACCAAAGACTTCAAACACTGCACCGAAGATGTAAACATGTCCAGAGTCTCAAGACCCGAGAATCCCAGATCCAATCGCAAAACGCGCAACTCTGCAGGAAGGCTTTGGATCAGCACATTGAGCTCATGGTCAGAGAAAATCCGGCATCCAGTCAGTGAAAGCTGCACTATCTTTCTACCAACGTCTGCCTTTACAGCTGTGGCCAGGAGTTCAGTGCATCTTCCTTGAAGGACAAATCCGTACCGGCTGCATAAAGCGAAGTGCGAAGCAAGAGCTTCATCTACTCGCTGGAAATTGGGATCCCCCGTGGGATACGACTGCAAAAGCTCAAAGTCGCAAGTTCCAAGACGAGAAAAGGCAATGCTGTTCAGAATTCGCACTTTGTCGATGTTCTGCGTGGCATGAGCTCCCTTGAGCGGTTGAACATTCACATTTCTAATTATGCAGCTCACTTTGTGGAAAAAGAGGAAACTTGGAATAAAATATCATACTGTGACATGAAAACAATGAACCATGGGTATTCAATGGATTGTCCAAATACATAAATTCGCTTCTCCACACAACATCAAAACAGCAAAAGTTTCTTGCAATCCTGCACCAAGTTTCTTCGATTTTGACCTTCAAGCCCTTTTCCAAAAGGTCCAGAGGAAAGTGACGCTCACGAGCTGCTTTGTGGTGCAACCCGATGATGCCGATCATTCGACTTTCTGCTCCAGCAAGTCCATCAGTAAGCACATGAGCCTCAGAGATCAACAAATTTGGAACGGTCAAAACATCACTTTTCACTTATCACCTCTTTGTAAAGATATATGGAAAGGGATGCTTACAGTAAGGTGATGTGACAAGGTTCACCATGGTGCAGAAATGGGGTTACGGTAAAGGCGATGGTCTCAACCTTTCGAGCAGACCACGCAAAGGAAATGTCCACACAAGGCCGCCACTTCTGTGTCGAGTAGCTTTGTCATATGCGTCAGTGGCTCCCACATCAAGCAGTAAACGTCGTCTGGACCAGTTGCCCTCTCGATGTTCGATCGCCTTAGTCGCTTTTAGGGTGAAAATACCGGAATTGTCTACACCAGTGTCTCCTTCGATCCACTATCTACTGAAGCATTGCCTGCCTTTACGAACATGACCTGGTGTTGCTCCTGCTCGTTATCCCCCATTCACATGTATGCAAATCAACCAAGCGATCATGCTGTTTGGGTTGTGTTTCGCATTTTGCACTGAAACAAGCTAGCTGCTAGCTGGACTCAAAACGTGTCCCTTCAAGCAGAACTCACGAACGAAAAAAACTCACGTTCATGTCACATGTTTCTCGTTCTATGATGCTTTCTCGCACTTCTAGGAATTTCTAAGGCTGGGGCAATGGCTTCCTCGAAGCAGCACCAAATCCTTTCGAAAGGCGTTGTTGTTGTTGTTGTTGTAAGCGGACGTCAACCTGCTCCTCACCGAAGTGAAGTAGTTAAGACGCCATAGTATGCCATCTGCGAGAATCAAGTTCCCATACTTCTCCAAGCAAAACACAAAAGAAGCGAAACCTGCCTGAAAAAAAGAAGTAAACACAGTGCGCCAGCTAGCATTCCGCAAGGAATGTTTGTTGATCAAGTACGACTTGCCAAAAAGGTAAAGTCCGTAGCCGCTGCAGACGCCAAACTGCTGCAGCCCAAGCCACGGCTCGCTGATGTCGCTGCACAGCCGCAGCGATCATGGAGCGTGAGTCACGCAACACCTCACCTGCCTGAGCATCGGCTGTCGCATTGAGAACGCGGCAGAGATGAACATCAATCCAACCATCTGGTGGTGTCCAGTCAGGCACCTTGTTGTGAGAAGGGATCCAAATGCAAACAGTGCCCTGAATCAATAAGCCGCTGATCCGCTGCCAGAAAAGCGGCAAGTCACCCTCCCAACGGCCAGTGCTAATGCCTCGCTGAAGCCGCCGCACCAAAGCCTGATTGTCAATCAAGAGCATCACCGGTCTGTTAGCTGCAGAAGAGGCTAAACAGGCTTGCAGAAGAGCAGCACGCTCACCTGCAGCAGGTGTTTGCTCAAAACCAGTCACGGCACCTTGAACAGTGGTGCCTGAAAGTGTCGAAACCGCCCAGCTAGCTCTTTGCCATCGATCACAGGAAGTAGCTATGATACAACTGCCGTCCAAACCCAAGGTGGGTCGCTGAAGAGGATCGAATTGCTGAATAAAAGTAACCAAAGCAGGATCTGCTACCATGTTGGAAAAAGGCAACACAGGAGGAGCATCCACAAGTGGAACCAGCAAACGACGTTCAGTAGCGCTCCTGAACTCACCATCCCATGGCTGCGCTTGGCAGTGAAAAGTGAGATGTTCTCGATCAGGAGACCGCAATCCACATTCACAACTCAAAGCAGAACCAAAGCGCTCTGTGACCCTGCCATCCACTGCAGCACCAGTCAAAACCCTGCGACTGTAGTAATCCATGCCTAAAGCTGCATTTGCCTGAAAAAGGAAAACCGGCTCCTTGCCGTTTGGCCATCGACCATCCGTTTTGGTGTCTTTAGTCCACAAACCAACGAGCCATGAATGGATAGCGGCTTTTTGCAAGCTTTTCAAAGACATCCACCCAGGTTTCAAAATCCCAGCAGGCGTGTGCCACAGGCCATCGTCAAGTCGCCATTTCCAATCTTTGAGCACTGCTTTCCAGCGAGGAGCAGGCGAGGTAGCTGCAGGCAACCCTTGGGCACGGCGGCATTGCCGATTCCATTCCGCCCGGGCGGCGGTGAACTGGAGCGCAAACATCGGATGTAGTCTTGCAGAACCCAAAGAATTCCAAAAGAGCAGCCGGCTCCTACCTGGAGGAGCCCTTCGACCCCAAAGTGCAGTTTCGATCATAGATGTCCATGTTCGAATGGTTCTTGCACTGAAGTGATGAAAAGCACCGGACCAAGCAAATAAAGATATCACCAACTTATGCACCAATGCAATGCGAGTGCCTAAGTGCTGTGCTGCCAAACGAATTTTGAGACATCGTCGCTGAATGTTGTCACTGACAATATCCGCATCAACACAAGAACTGGGGCGTGACAAATTGTATTGAATGCCAAGCAGTGTGAAAGTATCCGCAGGTACACCTACTAAATCTTTCTTCTTGCGCACCTTGGCAACCAGATGCGGTTTGGTGGCGAAGCTAGCCAATTTGTCAGGGTGAAGTTCGAAGCCGAGAATAGCATCGGCTTGCGCTCCCGCAGTCATGGCGTTGATGACCACTTCAAAACTTTGACAACCTTGTTTCCACATGGTGCGATCGTCCAAATAAATAGCCAAAGAAATCCTTGGTTCCTGCCGTTTGACAAACCTCACCCAAACGGTCATCAAAGCGTTCAGTAGCGCAGGGCTGGCTGGACAGCCTTGCAACAAACCCCGTTGAGCAAAAACCGGATGAGGGTGATAAGAACCTTGCCAAGCAAACCAACGACGCTGTAGCTGAATCCAAAAGAACTCCCTCAGACATCTGCATAGCTCTGTAGAATGAAGTGCTGCGTGGATTGCTTTTGATATCCTCTTCCACGCAGTGCTGGTTATTGGCATATGCACAAACCCAATAGAATGTACTACTTGAGAGTTCTCGCACCAGAGCATGCTGCTCCAAGCAGGCCAGAAACTTACAAACAGGCTCCTCACAGATCTGCCCAACACAAAATTGGACGTGCTTCAAAGCAATAGATTGACTTTCATCTATCATTACGCTGGATGTTCATTTCTTTTTTGATACAGCATCCTATTGAGGGTCCGAAATGAACAAGTCCAAAGCTCAACCAAGGCTTCTAGGGGAATGTGAATTATTAGCGGAAAAAGTAACTTGTTACTGACAGACAACGCAATAGCAAACTCTCCAAAATCCTCAAAAGTTTGCCTATCAACCAAGGCTCGATCCAAGCATGTGACACAAACCAGTGAGGTCTCTGCACTTGAATCGCCATGATCTCAACCATGCTGCAGCCCTTTTTCGCATAGCCGTCCTGGGATTCTGCATAATGTTGCCAATTAAAAAAAGAAAAACGGTAGATTCTTCAAATTGGAAAATGTTGTCACATCATCAACAAATCCAGGCTTCGGTGGCTGGTTTGATGATCCAATGATTCGCTTGATACAAGTTGAAGGTCTCAAACTGCAGCCTTGTCCCACGCTGTTCTCCGAACGTTTCGCACCATCTGTCAGCCATCTTGGAGATGAAAACAACGATCTTTGCCAATTGCTCGCGAGTGATCCCTCAGTATCTTTGATGCAGAAAGCCTCCTCCGACGTGTGTGGGGCGACCAACAAATGTGGCAAATGAAATTGGAATGGAATTCAATTGAAGCATTCTGCAGTAGCGAAGGTGGAATAATGGGCACAGCGTTTGTTGGTATTCGTTGCTGGTTTGTTTCTGAATTCATGCTTTGCGATACACAAAAGACTACTGAGGACTTGGGATGTTTTGTTGTACAGTACACAATCTGTCTTGCGTCTTTTTGCCAAAAAAAAAGGAACAAAGAGGCAGGTGTGTCTCCTGGTTGGTGATCTCTGAGTAGTTTGTCAAGACCAAAGTGCCGTGGTGGGTTGCCTCCACAATGTCATCGCACTGCAGCTGGCAGACCCCACTTGACAGCAACTTGTTCCCATGCCATGGGCTGTCTGGCAAACGCTCTCGTAGCAATAAAATAATGTCAGCAGCGGTTCTCGAAGCAGTCAGTTTGATATCAAAGTAACCATGTCCAGGAATATCCACAGAGACCGACATGAGGCAGCGAATCCTTTGCGCTGTCCAGCGGCACGAATTATATAAGTCCAGTCTGTAACAATACACAGATTTGTCCATGGTTTATCAAATACTTTCTCACTTTCTCTTACGCAACATGAGATTTGGCTGCTTTGTTCTCAATGTGCTTGGCTGGCCGTTTCATGTCCAGGTGAGTGTCACCGAATGCTGTGGTACAGGTCCGTCTTGAGAAGCGGAGACAATCTGCAACACCTCCAAAAGAACCAAAAGAACCAAAAGAACCAACACAGTAAACATGACCCACACGTCTCAATGCTTGGTTTCTGAGCTCTTCCAGGACCTCTGCAGGGAAGTCCTGCAGCTGTCAAGCCTAATCAAGCCTAATCAAGCCTAATGCATATCGTGGATCAACTTTGTTTTGCCGAACCCTGAAGGATCCTAAAGGATCCTAAAGGATCCTTCTAACAACTCTGTTCCAACATAGTGCGACAACGAGGTGGCGTCCTCAGATGGCATGCATCATGGTGGCAAGATGCACCGAATGTCCATGCTGCCGGGTGGTACCGGACAAGCTTGCAACGCCAAGTGGGGGCAACGGACAAGTGGTGTCACGACTCAAACCAAACTGTGAAAAGGTAAACTTTGATGAACTTTGAACTTCTTTTCCCTCCAATCAAACCTGGCAATGAAAACTCAATTTTCAGTACAGGAACATCAACTGAAAGTCAGCTCCAAAAGCAGGATCTCTGATCACCAAATTGAACTACCTACCGGAAACATGTTGGAAGTGCCACCTGCTAGGATCAACATTTCAGGCACTAGGTGGACCCACTGGACCCAACTCCACTTTTCTGAGACAAAACAGATTCCAATTACGTTTGCTCAACATATTTCAAAGGCCTCAAATTTGTTAAAAAACACAACGGAAATCCGAAAACCTCCGCGGAACCTTCTCCCTTGACGCCAGTATGAATCTATCGGTTCCAGCTCCACTTCCTGCCTCGCTGTCCAACTTGGCAGCCCCGCGGTTCGCCTCGTTTCCGAACCCGCTTGGGATGTGTTTTTCAACCAGGAAAACACGTGAAATCCATCGGAGGACGTGGAGCTGAAATTTCCGGCATGTTTTGACAAATTCAGAGATCCCTACAACTTGGATAATTCCGATATTCAACGGAAAGTGCAATGCGTTTCGTCTCGCTTCGCACAGCTGGCCTTTCCACGCTCACTCGACCATATCGTATATGCCGTAGGATAAAATGGTATGAAAAGATCACTGAATCTTCTAGATGTTTCCAACATATGCTGCCACTGAAAAGCCACAATCCATCACAATCTCACTGTTTTCATGATTCATGATGATATAAAATCAACTTGTGTCAACTCGTGTCAGCTCAACCCCTGGTCGTGTCCTCATTACGACTCTCGCGCATCGTCTCTCCGGCCTGGCGTCCTTTCCACGCCACGTGGAGAACCCGCAGCTAGGTGACGTGACCTGCCGGTGCCCAGGTACCCAGGTGCCCAGGTCATGAACTGCATAACAACCCCAGGGTGAGTTCAACCAGACAATATGATGTATATTTATTAAACTTTATTTATATTTATCATTGATTTATGAATATCAATGAAAATATGATATCAATTGATATTGAAGGCAGTATCCCCGAGCATTGATTCTTGGGTGCGCAGCCAATGATCAAAATATCGGAACCCCATTCGCATTCCGTGCTGTGATCACCTGTAGGGCTTTTAGTGCAAAGCTATAGGCCCATAGGCCCACCTAAACTCACTCATTTACGGCCCTTCTCTACTAAACGATCCAAAGGAAAAGATCCGATTTTCATAATTTTTCCGGTTGGTTGTCGAAGATGTGGATCATATGCCATGTCGCAGTGGGCGGCCCATGGTTTTTATAAAACCGCATGATGATATTGTGACCGCCACTATGCCACCGTGCTGCAAGTGCGCCCACCAAGCCACGAACAAACAATTGGTCGTATTTCATTTTAGTTCTGATGTTCTGGATTCAAGTGGTGCTGTTTCAATGTGTGAATCGCGAAAAAAACATCAGAAAATTGCGACGCCCAGCTTTTCCGGCGCCTGGTCGCTGACTGTCGTAGCGTGGCCTGAGCACCAGGTGTGTCTTGCCACTGAGAACTCGAAACACCGTTGGATACGAACAGCACAAAGACACGTTTCGGTCGTTGAAGGGAACAGAAATTCCAAGAATCAGTCAGTGACAGGGCACGCCTTTCATCTTTAAAAAAACTGAAATAGCCTGGAAGGATCTGGAAGGTGTTGAGTCGGGACTTGTGTTTGGCCAGATGGAAACTTTGTTACACCTCTCTCAGCAGCTTCCTTCCAGGTTCAAAACAAACAATTTCTGTTCCGCTCCCGACAGACCTGATTGTTTTCTTGCCGGAGGGCTATACATTGAACCTTACAAAGAGTGACAATGAGTTTTCAGGTAGTTGCCAGCCAAAAAAAACAGCAAGACATGCCATCTCATCCCACAGCAATCGAGTCCAAACTCCAAAAAGTCACCAGGCGAAGCAGGACAGAAACTTGGATAAAACATGAGAAAACCATAAAACTATCATTAAACCCTGATGCCTTTGCTGACTGTGAACATAATTTTAATTCAAGTGCTCCCGGCCTCGGCCTTGGTGCTTGGAGACCGGCTCCGGGACCTCAGAGTCGTCACCAGAAACCCATGCAGCCTGGTTGAAAGAGCGCGACTAGAACCTGATCCCCAGGCAGCTCGACCCATCATTTTCGATCAGAAAGGACATCCTCTAAGCCGATCTAAGCCGGATATCTCAGGGATTCATCAGCAGACGATACTTGAACAAATTGCGGGCCACTCGCTGAGATCGTTTCCGTTCAAGTACAACTTCTGCAAGTTGTCGAGTTCTGAAAAAACATCATCCCAAACTTCAGCAGGCAACTCGCTGAGTTTGTTGGATCGCAGGTCGAGCTTCTGCAACTTGCTGAGCCCTGAGAAGTCTTCGGCACGCAAGTGAGTGAGATCGTTACTACTCAGGTCGAGAATCTGCAAGCTGCTGAGGCTTGAAAAGATGTTCGCAGGCAATTGGGCCAGTTTGTTTGAATCAAGGTAAACCTTCTGCAGGTTGCCAAGCCCAGAAAAGAACTCAGCGGGCAACTTGCTGATCTGGTTTAACTTGCTGAACATTGGCAATGTGTTATTTAAAACTGCCGCAAGATCGAATTCGTAAAGCAAACATAGAAGACGACTCACGTCCTCGTTGCGCACCTCCTTGCACTCGCCCAAGTTGAGCACGTGCAGGTTTCTGAGCCCTGCAAAGCCGTGAGAAGGCAACACACTGAGATTGTTGCGTCCCAAGTCGAGCACCCGCAGGTTACTGAGCTCTGCAAACAGGTTGGCAAAGGCTTCGGGAGGCAATTCATTCAGCTTGTTGTCAAAGAGATAAAGCCGTTGCAGGTTGCCAAGCGCAGAAAAGACTTCAGCAGGCAACTCACTGAGCAAGTTCGACCACAGGTCAAGCTTCTGCAACTTGCTGAGCCCTGAGAAGACTTCAGCATGCAACCGAGTGAGCGAGTTGTACCCCAGGTTGAGCTTCTGCAAGCTGCTGAGACCTGAGAAGACTTCAGCAGGCAACTCACTGAGCTCGTTTCCATACAAGTAAAGCTCCTGCAAGTTGCTGAGTCCTGCAAAGACTTCAGCAGGCAACTCACTGAGCGAGTTGTGTCTCAGGTCAAGCTCCTGCAACTTGCTGAGCCCTGAGAAGACTTCAGCATGCAACCGAGTGAGCGAGTTGTAGTTGTACCCCAGGTTGAGCTTCTGCAAGCTGCTGAGTCCTGAGAAGACTTCAGCAGGCAACTCACTGAGCAAGTTCGACCACAGGTCAAGCTTCTGCAACTTGCTGAGCCCTGAGAAGACTTCAGCATGCAACCGAGTGAGCGAGTTGAAACTTAGGTTGAGCTTCTGCAAGCTGCTGAGCCCTGAAAAGACTTCAGCAGGCAACTCGTTGAGCTTGTTCCACCCCAGCTGCAGCCAGGTCAAGTTGCTGAGTCCTGAAAAGACTTCAGCAGGCAACTTGCTGAGCTTGTTCCGTCTCAGGTCCAGCTCCTGCAAGTTGATGAGTCCTGCAAAAACTTGGGCAGGCAACTCACTGAGAGTGTTCCAACTCAGGTCCAGCTTCTGGAGTTTGTTGAGCCCTGAAAAGATTTCGCCTGGCAATTCAGTCAGCTTGTTTGAACGAAGGTCGAGGGTCTCCAACAAAGGAATTCTATCAAGGACGTTGTGTGGCAGCGAGGTCAACTTGTTTTCGCTCAGATCGAGAACTTGTAGCCGCGGGCTGTGCTGCAAAAGCTCTTGAGACAGCACGCTCAGCTCGTTTCCATCAACGATCAGTTTGCCCTCCTCATCAGATTTACCCCCCAGCAACAATTGCTCCAGGGCTGGCATGGGGCGCAGCAAGTCTCTTGGCAATGCGTTCAAACGATTTTGGCTCAGCGACAAGATTTTCAGGCTTGACAAGCCGGCAAACGCGTCTGACTCCACCTGTTGCAAACCCAAGCGGCCCAAATCCAAGAGTTGCAGGCTCTCCAACGGGGCAAACACATTTTGAGGCAAAACAGACAACCGATTCCCAGAGAGCGACAACCGTTGCAAGCCCTGGCAAGAGGTGAAGGCATCCTCTGCAACACTTGTGATGTCCTGCTCACTCAAACTCACATCTTTGAGGCGAAGAACGCCTACAAGGCTGCAGCTCGCAAGGTGCTTTGCACCATGATCCTTTTGGTGACAGCGGCACGGAAAGCATCCGAAATCAGTCGTGTCAATCGGGTAGAAGTGCGTCGAAAGCAGCAGAGCAAGGATCATGACCAGCAAACAGGGCGAATACCTAAGTGGCAGTTGTAAAAACAAGCAATCAAACAGAACAAATCCATCACGGCCCACTGGGGTCACGACAGCATGGCTCAAACTAATTTCATGACAAAACCCAAATCTCAGGTGGTTGGGTACAGATGTCCAAAGTAGTCGTTTGGAATCAACCACAAAATTTCAATTCCGGCAGTGCTTGTTAGGTTTCAATGGTCTGGGACTGGTGCATCCCGGATGCTTGGATAAATTCCTGATTTGCACTTTTGGACAAACCAACAGCTGGATAAACTTCTGAAACCTTGGAACCTATCGTGACCAGCAAGCAGGGCGAATACCTTTGCAGCGGCTGCCAAGAAGTCAAGCAAAGAAATCCGTCACAGCCCGATGCGACGAAAAGGCTGGCCACTACAGCATGGGAAAAACTCATAACAAAACAGAAACCAGGTCTCAAGGATTCTCAAAGGTTTGGGCATTGAAGATGTGAAAGGAATCCAAAGTTTTAATGAGGGACTGCCTGTGGAGGGAACACCACCCAAACCCAAGATTTTGCAAAAAATACAGTGTGGACAAAAATGTGAAACCGCTAGCAGCCGGGCCACTTCTGAAACCTTAGAATTCTGGAACCTTGGAACGCTGGTACTTTGCAACCTTGAACCTTGTGTATAGTTGCAACCAAAACTGCGAACCCTGGCACCTGCACCTGCAGGAAACCTTTGGAACCCTGTTTGGGGACAAGAACGTCATAAGTGGCGCATGCTTTCAGTCCTAAAACAAATGTTCAGCATGTTCAGCAAAAAGACAAAGCTGGAAAAATAACAGGCCTTCTCTGCACCAACATGTTTACTCGACATGTAAATACAATGACAACAGGTTACATAACCACCATGGTTTGGAAATGTTGACACAACCTAAAAGGAAACCAATGCAAACAAAACGCAACAACAAATCCGGGATCTCTTGGAGCAAAATCTCGATGAGCTCAGTGACCAGGAAGCAGAGCTCGGTAAGCTTTGCAACTTCTTCCGGTATGTCGATCGATCGCTTCGCTCTAAGGCACGGCAAACAGTGCAAACATGTGCAAGTGAATAGTAGACAGCAAAGAAACCAAAAAAGTCGGCTGGGAATGCAAATGCTGGGTCCAACTCTGCTTGGAAGTTCACCGAAGCCTCATCCCCAAAATTTCCTGAAATGGCTTGGCCCAGCTGTAGCTCATAGATGGCCAGCAAGGTGATGATGAGGTACGTGCTGGTGTAAGCAATATCGAGAACCGCATCCATCATTGCAGCGCCCCGGCGCACCCACTTCACAGTGGGTAAACCCAACAAAATGGTTGGATAGATGCTGTTCAGACATAGGAAACCCACAAAAGCCCAAAAACATCCTTCAAACGCATCTGAATGCTTCGGAGCTGAATGGAATGCAAATGACACAAGGCCACCCATGATTTGGAGCTTTCCAAAGGCCTGTAGCATCACTGTGAATAACTGCAGCATTGCAACTTTGAAGCCGTAGAGCTTGCCTTCAATGCCAACATATTCCTCATAGAGCAGCTGGGTGGGTTTCAGCGGTCTCAACTTGATATTGGCTGACCGACACCGGCGCAAGTCGCTCAGGAGGACGATGATCAAGGCCAGGTATGGCAAAGAGAAAACAATGGAGGGCAACAGCTGCGAAAGGCTCTCCTCCAACCATCCAGAATCAGAAGTGGTAACCTCCGGCAAACTCCCATCACTGGGCTCAACTGTTTGCTTGAGAGCAAATGCATCTCGGATCAATTGTGGAAGCTTGGAACGGATGAAAGGTGAACTATACCGCACAAAGTATTGCCCCCCAAAGTACACTGCTGCAAGTAATGAGCTGATCCGAAGCAAAGCAACAACAACGACTACCAATCGTGATTGCTGTGCTGGTCGCCCAGACATAAGCAAAGGATCTACTTGCAAACTGCCTGCCAGAAGTCCCACCTGTTCTGCCAAGTGGTGCACATCATCCACTCGATTTTCCAGCTTTGTCAAAGAGGCTTCACGGAAACGGATCGTGGCTAAATAGTGGCTGATCTTGACCACCATCTCGGCACATCTGACACCAGCTTGGACTGAAGCAAAAGAATCGCGAGTACGCACAATCTCTATTTCTCGCAACTCATCATGCTCTGCTCTGGTTTTGAGAAAGCACCACGCACTGAGCATTCTTTCCCAATCATCGAAGATTACATCGCAATACAAGAGATCTAAGATTTTGTCCCATCCACCTTCTCGCACGACAGCCTCTTGTGCCATCGGCAGTGTCATCAGTACGGGCCGCAAAGCTTGCCGAGATATGGAACCAGGCTGCTCCTCCAAGAACTCTCGCAGTGGAAGGCACAGATTCTTGTCGAAGTCATCAAGATGCTTTCTGGCTTCGACGAAGTGTTCCGTCAAGCTTGTGACTTGAGGCTGGGCAATATCGTCTCTGCCCCAATCACCAAAAAGCCTGGACATGTCATTCTGCAAATTCTTTGCATACAAAGCTTCCGATTCAACTTCAAGCTTCCTTGACGGTGTTTGCATTCTGTTGAGCCGAGCTGTGGTGTAAACAATGCTGACAATTGCAATTGAGATAACAATCAGAAAAATCAACGTGCCAGACACTCCTGTTGACTGAGAAAAGGCATAACTTGCCACAGGCAACAGGCTGAGAACCAGCAGAACCAACAGAAATCGGCTCTCTACCTCTGCCACTGCTTGTGCAAGAATCAGCACACTAAGCTCCACATTCTGGCGCCAACCATTTACCGCAACGCAAATCCTTTTGCCAAGGCCCACCCAGTGGTGCCTTTCG